TTCGAGATTCAGACGGTGAAAGATGTAGCAGCTAAAGGGCAAATACAGGAGATGGCTGACGTGCCAGTTCAGGGGCTTTACTGTGAACATTAAAGAATTTGGTGCGCATTGGTCACTATATGTGCCACGTTCTTTAACATTTACAACTGCATTTTGCCTACATATTGTTTCGTTTGATTCTCGCGATACGAAACGATTATATCCATAGTAATAGGAAGGCTGATATTGGCAGGGGATACAGCATGCATGGGAGAGAAGACAATTTCGTACATAGTTTTGGTGTAATAAAGAATGTATTGAAAATCAATTAATCATTTTAATATTATAATGAAAAAGGTAACAAAGCCAGTATGTGAAATATTAAAGTATCATGAAGCCAGATGTAACAAGCCAAATGTATCAAATCAGTTGCAACTGATAATAGTAACTATTATAATGTACGTAGGTATAGTAGATGGTTATAATGAACACGACTGTATGTAGGACAAAGAATTATGAGAGACCACGTGTGGGAAACAGTGCTTCAGAGTAAGAAGACAAAATTAGGAGCACTTAATGTAAAACCTTTTAAGCTAAAAGGCTGAGTAACTTATATGTCTTAAAGTGGCGCTGGGGCAGGGTTTCTCCGAGTACTTCGGTTTCCCCTGCCAATCTTCATTCCACCAATTGCTCCACAATCACCCTCACCTATTGTATCATCTGGGGCTGGTACAATAGGCCAGAAGTGGCCGCAGTACAAGGGACTTAGTCCCACCCCACTAGCAGTAAAAAAAAGTATATGTCTTTGGTCCATTACCACAAATCTGTCAGTACCCTAGAGGGTCTCACAATGAAGAAGTTACACCACGTGTGTTGCTACCTGCATAATGCTGGTTTCTTGCTTGGCTTATTCTTTGACCCTGAAGATGGAGGCTACATGTTCTTCCGAAACGTCTGTTGATTTTGCATGAACTACACGGCGTTATATCCCAGAAGTTAACACTCTTGAATAACAAATATATTCTGAAAGATATTTAGAAGAGCAGATTCAGGAAATATCTTTTGACCTTTCGCTACTAGAGGTTACGGCGAGGATTGTTCTTTGTCATGTCTGTCCGCGTGTAACAAACTCCAGAGCCGCCGAATGGAATATCATGAAATCGGATATTGAGACGTTTTATTAAGATTTGTCGACGCACTACAGTTTTGAAGTCAGGAAACAAAAACGGACACTTTGCCTGAAGAGCTATTGGAGTTCCTGGACATAACTCGCTGAATATTAGTCGGGACGGAATCCAGTTTGGAACAAATGGCTTAGAGAACAATAAAACATTTCTTTATGTCCGATGCAGCATTTCCTTGCGTTCTACGGTTCTCGAGGTAGGTAAACAAAAGTGCACTAGAACTGTTAGTAGCTTGTTATCAGGCCACTGCTACGATCACGCCCGCTACCAGGAACTACATGGGTGTGAAACACGGCGAAGAGGGAAAAGAATGGAGCGGGAGTGTGAGTCACCCACACTATTGGGGTACGTGAGTGTATGGCATTGCATTGGGCTTGTCTAGCAGTTCACAGGAGAGAGACAGATAAATTATGCAGAATACTGAGGGATAAACCCCTCGGAATGGACCACGTGTAATAGTTAGAGGATGTCATTAAAATGTATGTTTTGCCGTGTGGACTACCTGGGGGGAGGAGGTCGCCCTTTGGGCGCTGCAGCTCATGACAACAGGTGCTGTAACCTTGTCAGATGTGTGTTTTGTGCGTGGGCCCGGTCGTTCACCCTCTGGTTGTCAGCTTGCAGTGCATACCCCTCCGAGATCACTTCAGGCTTCACGAAGTTCGTGGGTGGTGGAGGGGGTTCATTCATTAGCAACGCTATGTAGCGTCTCATTGTAGGATAATACGTAGGTCGTACTGAAAGTCATGAGCAACAATTCTTTGTAAAGCTACATGCTTTATTATTGACAAACCAAATACACCATCTCAATCTACAGACCTTTCTTTATTTTGCCACATAATCGCCACTTCTTTGTACACATTTCTCCCAGCGTTCTGGGAGTTTGAAAATCCCCCTTCTGTAAAATTCCGTTCCAGCCTTCCGAAGACACTGACGTACTGCTTTCTGAATTCAGCGTGCGTATGGAAATGTGTGCATTGGTGCGAGCAGTGTTCGAAGATGGGTGAAACATTTTAAAGATGGGAACACCAGCATCGAAGATGAGCCTCGGAGCGGTCGTCGTCGAACAGCCTCAACTGAACACAACAAGGAAAGAGTGGGTGAGATTATTCAAGATGACAGGCGTGTGACTGTGGACACAATAGCCCGAAAACTTGAAATAGGGCACAGTGCAGTACAGGAGATGATTGAAAGCTTGGGCTATAGAAAAATTTGTGCTCGCTGGGCGCTGCGGTTATTGACCGAAGACCACAAAAATCATATTGGAAGCAACTGCAAAGATGGGGTGGGAAGTTCTTCCACACCCCTCCGATAGCCCTGATCTGACAACCTCCGACTACGATATTTTCGGATTTGTGAAGGATAAGCTGCGTGGACAATGTTTTGAGACAAGGGAGGCAATTCAGAAAGCAGCACGTCAGTGTCTTCGGATGGCTGGAACGGAATTTTACAGAAGGGGAATTTTCAAACGCCCAGAACGCTGGGAGAAATGTGTACAAAGAAGTGGCGATTATGTGGAAAAATAAAGAAAGGTCTTTAGATTGAGATGGTGTATTTGGTTTGTCAATAATAAAGCATGTTACTTTACAAAAAATTGTTGCTCATGACTTTCAGTACGACCCTCGTATATGACTGATGAATTGCAAAGGATATGAAAGGATGCGGTCATGACCTGAATGAAGTGTATTTCGGTATTTGCATAGAAGGATCGAGGAAAGCCATGAAAACCCATAGTTAGGATAGCCGATGTTCTGACCGAGATGCCAACCGGGCAGTTCCTGAATAGGAGGCAGGTTTACTGGTACGCCAGCCCGCACGGTTACACGAAATGCTGAGAACAGGCCTTTTGTTTTGGCATGGAGGAGATTCCTGATTGAGAAGCTAGTAGTCGCTCAGTTGCGCAGGAGCCCGCCACTGAACTTTGCCCTCAGCCAGATGATTCCAATCCACATCCTCTGACCCTGTTCTTTAAAATATCTTTTAGTATCATCCTCATGTTTGTGTCCCAGGGAGTCTTCTCTTTAGGGTTTCTTAATAAAATTCAGTATGTATTTCTGATCCCTCCCATATGTGTCATACTTCCTCAATTTGGTCACTGTATTTGGTGATGGGTCCCAGCTCGCAGAACAACTTGCCACATTATGATGAGAGCCGTGTTAATATTTTACACCACAGAGAAGCGTGACGCTCTTTTTTGTATTCAAGTCAGTTGGTGTTCTCATAGACACACTAAAATCAATTATAACCAATTATTTTGTACATATAACTTTGGCTGTTTGACTTCAGCCTGTGTTCAGACAGTTCCAGCAGTTCAGTTACCATCTTATAAGTCAGTGTCACATTCAGTGTATGTGGGAAAGTGGGAACAAGTTCAGCATACGGTGAAGCTAGATCCTGAAAGCTGAAGTTTGCATATTCTGCAGAGGCCACAGGACAAGTTCACACATTGTCGTCATTGTAGCCATCATTACTCTTGTTAGGTCAAGAAAGACAGGATTGGTGGGGTGCATATGACATGCAGTACAATGTACAGGATCATCATGGAAACACAAATAACTGTGTTTTTGGATATCATCCATCGTCTTGTCTGTATCTAAAAACCATCCTCTTATTTTTCAAAACAACGTTTTGGAGACTGGGTTCTGTCTCCTTCTTCAAGTAAAACCTACTCAGTTGGGCCCAATCAATAGCGCTAGTCCTTGTCTCCGGACCACAAGATAGGAACCAACTCTATTGATTGAGCCCAACTGAGTAGGTTCTACCTGAAGAAGGAGACAGAACCCAGTCTCCAAAACGTTGTTTTGAAAAATAAGAGGATGGTTTTTAGATACAGACAAGACGATGGATAATGTCCAGAAACATAATATTTGTACCAGTGTACCATCGTCACAAATTTTTAGATATTGTAAGATATACAAAAGTATATATGGTATTCAGACTACACAACAATATTCTGTATTTTAAAAACAAAGAAGACACTACTGTATAAACATTAAACAGACGCAACATGTTTCAACCCTTATACTGGGTCATCATTCCGTAATCATGCAGTGTGCATTGACCACAGAAGCTCAATGACATGACTTCATGCTTTGGAGGGTTCTGATGGTGGTAGGTGCTAAGATTATTGCCTTGTGGGGAATGATGCTATGGAGTTTGGTAGATGGTTTCCGTTTTAGAGGAGCCTGCAGCCTCAGACTTAAGGGAAAAAACTCAAAGATCAAGGCATCTGGTTGCCTTGAAATGTTGGTTAGTTTCTGTCAAACCACACATCAAGCCTTATAGATGAACTGTGGGCTCCAGAGGGTTTAGCTGTCTTCAGTATAAGATTTGGAGTTACAGTACTTTTGATTCACATAATAATAAATTGTTTCTCATTACAGAATATTTATGCATAACAAAAATAATATATTTCTTGCTGTCATTGATATCTATTACAGAAGAACGATTGTGGGGTTGTGATTGAGTGGCCGAGCTCTCCAGTGTGTGAATTACTGGTCCCGTCAGGTGTCCACTCAACGTTGCACACTGATCCCACTCAAGGCAGCTCAGGTCAGACATAACTTTGAAGTTGTCCAGATTTTGAAGTAAGGGGAATTGTCTGATTAGTTTCATTTATATCTGAGGACAGAGTGCTGAGAGGAAGTAACAGGGCCATGAGGGAAATGGAGGAGCTTTGTAATTTATATTCTTACAGAATTATCAGATCAGGAAATAATTTTCCTGGGGAGTAAAGCGCGGCTGGCGCATAAGGCTGACAACCTTACCGCCATCTTTGAGCCGATTGTCTAGATAATGTGGGACCCTCAACGTCTCACAACCCTGTGGGCCTTCATGGCCTGTTACAGGGATAGCTTTACTTTTACTTTACTTTATTATCAGATCAGGGAGGATGGGATGGGTGGAGCATGTAACACATGTGGAAATCTTAGTCAGAAAATCTGAATGGAAGATATCACTTAAAAGACATAGACATTGATATTAATATTAGTAGGGATCTTAAAGAAATGGGGATTGAGGGTGTGAACTCTTATTCTTTAGGCTAAAGGTAAGGAACAGAGCTGGATCCTTGTGAACCCAGTAATAAAGCACTGGGTTCCATACAAAGCGGGAAATATTTTGCATGTCAGAAAGATTGGCAATTTGTGAAGGCCTCTGGCCCATGTTGCCCGGTGGTGTGTACCAAAGAGGGTCAGGTTGAATCAAACAGAGAAGTGGATTGATATGTTTTGTTTCAGTGGGTCTGGTGGTAGGCCTGATCATACTGGTGGCTGTTCTGTGCTTGTTGGTGCTGTATTTCAGAAAACCAGCGAACCGCAGCCATTTGAGAAGTCGAGTGAGCTTACTCCTTGGTGTGCGACACAATGGACAGTTCCACTACTCACGGGTGAGTAGGGCATGGCAGTCATTATAGTTTGTCACCAAAGTGTGTTTCTCCACTACTTGCCCTGTGGGGACTGCCCCCTGGGTTCTATCTTAATGTTTTCAGATTGTGTAGGTAGTACCAGATTTGATGTTATTGCAGCAGTGAATATTCACCCTTTCCCTTGCTTGTATTTGCAGCTTCACTCCCACCAAGGCAACATGAGAACAACATCCATAGGAGCTATTTAAGAATATTTGAAGCTCCTCCCATCTGTTGTTGCTATAGATTAACTAATGAAACAGATATCTAAGAATGTAAAGAGCCAAGACATGGTAACACTCAGCACATGTTTGTAGCAAGGCAGTAAATTCTGAAGCTGCTGGCAGAAGCCTTCTGATAGACAATAGGAAAGAGTTAAGAGTGCGGTCCTCTTGGATGTGACACCATGTCATCTGGTGGATGATCAGAGGCATTTTGAAGCAACTTGCTTCAAAACATTGGCAACTGTCTACAAAATTACATGATGTCACATCTCAGAAGACTACAGTTGTAGTCTGGTGTCAGTTCTGGGGCTTACAAAGTCATTTGTTGAATTCTGACTTGTGTTTGATAACACATGTTCTTACTTTTGGATGGTACTGCTTATCATGATATACCATCTGTGCCTGCATTACCTCTCCTATGTGTGCTGTTCAGTTGTCATAGACCCACACAAGGTCCTGCAGCAGGGATAGTGAACCTTTTTAATGCTGCTTGCCAAAATTAAGAGAAAAGCTTTGTTTGTATGTGAATGTAAATCTCATTCTCACCCACACATATAGGCATGCAAATTAAAATTTTGTTTGTAATTTGGTTACTCTGTCTTATTAAAACATTTATTTGAAACAAAATTTTGCATAGCAGCAGTTCATTGTTGCTGCTGGTTGCATGGAAAGTCAGTAGATGTGAATGGAACACGTGCAGTTCCTAATAGCAGGACACAAAGTTTGCTGTTGTGATGGGAGTAACATTCCATGTGTTTTTGTTATCTCCAGTAGCACTCTTCTGTGTAGCAGTAGTATTCTTAGATGTGCAGACAGTTACCATAATTTAGTGTAGTCAGAATACTTTGCTGAACCTCTGATCAGGAGTCAACACACTGGGTATATTTCTGACTGATATGAGACGTTTGTGTGAAATGGATTAACTTTTTGCAGATATGGCAAAATATAAAGTGGTGATCGATTCTCTATGAGAAGTATGGTACCTGACTCTTAATGTTGTTGCTTGTTGCTTGCTTGTTTTGCTTGCATGTCATAGTCAGCGAATCCACTTTGCATTCTACCTGTCCATTTCCATGAGATTCATTTTAATATTGTCCTTTCATACCTTTTTGAATCTTACCAAGCAGGTTTATGTAGTGTGGACAGAGTTTTATTCTGGAGATACCTCTTCAAACTTTAGCAGGTGTTAGGAGCAATTTGTACAGTTGTTGAATAACTTATCACTGAATATTTTTAGCTGTAGGAGTGGGATGTGACTGTGGCCTCTTGTACCGGTCCCCGGTGACAGATAAATATGGAGTATGGAGCACTGCTGGAATGGAAATGAGTAAGGGAAAACCAATGTGCTTGGAGAGAAATCTGACCCAGTGCCACTTTCTCCAGCACAGATCTTGTGCAGTCTACCCAGGGTCTGAATCTGGACTTCTCATAAGGCGGCCAATGGCCAACAGTCTGAGCTATGGCACAGACATGAACTGATTAACCTTTCTCAGGCTTTCAGTTCACCTCTTGCCAAAGGTTTCTCATTCAGAATTCTGTTATTGTTTCTTCCATCTAAGCAACATGTGAGCTGGGATAGCGCAGTCAGTCTAGCGACTAGCTATTGGCTGGATGACCGAGAGGTTGGTCTTAATCCTGGTGGGATTAAGAATTTTTACTTCTCCGTGTCATCCCCCAGCCTCCTATCCAGTGGGTACTGGGGGCTATTTTCCTGGAGTAAAGTGGCTGGGGGGCCGGTCACGGTAGCTGAGCAGTCTAAGGCATGCACTGTCTTTGCTCGCTCAGAAGCCGAGATCGTGGGTTCGAATCCCACTCAGGGCATGGATGTTTGTGTGCGTTTTTCTGTGTTTGTCTACAGGTAGAGGCCTTGCAACGAGTTGATCACTCCTCCAAGGAGTCCTACTGTATGTGTAAGATCTAGAAAAACCGAAGTGAACGTAGTTCGTGGAGGTAGGCCTAGGCCCACTGGGCTGTAGAGCCAAGGAAAAAAAAAAAGTGGCTGGGGAGTGAAACTGACCACTCACCTCTAGCTAGTGCCAAGGTCAAGAAAACGTGGGTCTGTACATCCACTCCCCTATACGCCTTCATGGTGTAGTGCATAACTTAGTTAAGTACAGAGACAACTTTACCTTTTTACCTTTACCATCTAAGAAATATGCGCATCCCGCAGTACTATTACATGAAGTTGCATTTTCTTGTAGCCATGATAGTGTGTGTTGTGTATATGAGAAAGTCTGCTGCCCTTAACCCTTAGACTGTGAAGTACTTCTTACAACTACCTAGTAGAAAGGCCTAGGGTGCTTGGGGATAAATACATTCACACATAGAAATCCTGAATATTTCCTCAGATCACCCTTCAGTGACATCAGAGTTAAATAGTGTGAAGGCTCGTTCATTCCTCTAGACATCATTGCTACCATGTATCGACAGAAATATGATACTAAGTGATTAACATCAAGGTGATCTCTAAGCCTGTGGCTGTTTTAATGTAAATATGGTGAGCCAGCTGTGTCGAGTTGTGGGGTGCAAAGGGTTAAGTGATGTGGTCCCCACACATTTCATGATTATCATTGGCAAAACAGCACTTTTTGAGTCATGGCTTTTCTTAGAAAATCTTGGCAGATTTGGTCTTGTTTTCTCTTCTTTGGCTTTTACAACAGTAATTCTTTTACAGAGCAAGTTCATGCAGCCTTGTGTCCCACCCCCAACCTGTAGAGCCAGGTCTCTGTATTTATGTCCCTCAGTGACAGGGTGGTCAAGTTATAAACCCAGGCACCAGGTTCCCTCTTTGTAGACTTCCAAAACTCACAGGGCTATGGTAGAAGTATTCTACCCTGCCTCCCAAACATTTCATGTGCTTAGAATGAAGGTTGAGGTTCAAGCAGAAACAGTGGAATCCTCTTCCTCTTTATACCCACAGTGCAAGAGCAGCATAGGTGAAGGCCTTAGATGTTTCTGTGTTCTTCTGGGCTTCATGCTGCCTAGTCTGGTAGGTTGGTACCATGTCAGAGGAGTACTCCTCTTCAAACTTTGGGGTTGATGGAGGCAGGATGTTTATCCAGAATGTAGGTACCCACATCATGAGAATGAAAATAACCCAGAACCCATTAGATATTGTAAAACCACAGTATGAATCTTCACAGCCACGAAAACCTCACATCTTACCAGTGTTTCTGTGTTGTTTATGTTGCGGATGATGTTTTTGGTTGCAGGACAATGACTGCGGTTGTGCTGAACTTTAGTTGACTCAGCAGGATAGTTACGTGTACATACAAGTTAGTGTGCATTTCTTTGTTTTGTTTGCTAACTGGGCGTGAGGTGAGTGCATGGAGTTGGATTTGGTAATTGCATGTGTGATGCATCATGATGTATGTTATGTGCATCCCTCAGTACGAGTGGGGGAGGCAGGAAGGGACTATTTTGAAGTGACCTGAAGCAGGGGAACTTCAGGTAACTGTTAACTGCATGCTGCTTACATGTAAATATAGAGACATAAATTTAACATTATTCTGGGCGTGGCATTCTGAACTCTGGCTGATGTTCTCACAGTGTTGTAAGACACATACTGAATTGAATATGGGTTTGACCCTATCCATTTCCCTCTTACCCAGTTCTATGTTTAGTAACCTTAAATTATTCATCTCAGTTCATACTAAATCAGATTATGATGCTTTATATACTAGGTGGTTCAAATATGACCGGGACTGATTTTTTTTTGTAAACAAGCCGCACTGTGCAGCAGCTGTGCGACCTTGAGAGAGTGAAGCCACAACCTCCACCCTCCCTCCTGTTAGGGTTAGAACCTGTTCAGTCCTGTCTGGAAGTTGCTAGAGTGATGAGTGAACAGAAGGTACCGTAGAGTGTGGAACAATGCATTGTGATCAAATTCCTCAGAGAAAATTCCTCCGCTGAAATTCACCACAGACTCCAACAACAGTATGAGGAAGAGTGTCTCTTAAGGACACATGTGTTTGAATGGTGTAAGTGCTTCAGAGAGGGCAGAGAGCGCACGGAGAATGAACCGCATGATCGTCAGCCGCAAACTTCTGTCACCGAGCCAAACATTGATAATGCAGATGTGAGAATAGGCGCATCACTACCAAGGAACTCTGAGCAATGCTGTCCATCAGTGTTAGTAGTGTAGAAGACATCGTGACATACCACCTGCACTATCGCTAGGTGAATGCACAGTGGGTACCATGCAGTTTGACGGACGTGAACAAAATGGTGCACATGCAAGTTGCCCGTTGTCTCCTACAGCAGTTTGAAGATGAAAGTGATGCATTTTTTAAGTCTATAGTGACCACCGATGAAATGTGGGTGCACTATTTCATTCCTGAGTCCCAGCAATCATCACG